ATGAAGCTTTGGGAGTATGTGCCCACCCATGCGCGACCCTCCCTTTGTAATACCATCGTCCGCCTACTTCTGGGTGCCGAGCACGGACGTCTTAAAATAATTGGCCAACGCACGGACTGCCGGTGCGAAGATGCGTTTTTTGCATAGCTTCTCGCAGTTTTTGCCGCCACCGGCACCGGTTTTTTCGGCAAATGCTTCTAGCTAAACAAATTAAGATTGGTCGCCAGAACTGTTAGGAAACACCTCCATAAAATTTCAGCTTTCTAGCTTTCTTGGCTCTTGAGTTAGCAACTTATTCGGAAAAAACTTTGGCAGGCCCGTATTTAGTACCACGCGTACCTGGAGTCTGGGTTTGAGCTCATTGAGATTTAGGTGAACAGAGAATGTCCTCTTAAAATTACAGTCCTTTGGCTTTTCAAATTCCTGAGTTATCAGCCTAGCCAAAAAAAACTTTGGCGAGCCCGTGCGTGAGTACCACGCTTACCCGTGGGCTGGGTTTGAGCTCATTAATACTTGCTTGGACAGGGAACATACCCTTAAGATTTCAGCTTTCTACCTTCTCAGATCCTCTTTCTACCTTCTCAGATCTTACTCGAAAAAAGTTTTGGTGGGCCCGTACGCAGGTAACACGCGGGTAATGGTGCCCATTTTTGGAATTGGGGTTGAAAGTGCACGTAGAAGTTCCCAAAGCTTCAGCCGTGCGGCTTTTGTAGGACTTGAGATGAAAAATCGGTACAGACGCACACACAGACACACGAACGCACAGACAACCCCTCGTCAATATGCGTTTTTGCACTGCACAGCTGCAAACCCAGGCTGGAACGCACCAGGCGAGCCGGTGCGATCATGCGTTTTCGCATCAAACTTTGAGGCACTCCATTAAATTTCTCTGCCTTTTCCCTACCCCCTCCACTCGCTGTTTCCGCCCTTCCCCCTTCCCCCGCCCCCGCCCTGGGTATCCACCTCCGATATTGTGCTGCATTATAAGGCACAATTACAAAGCGGGATTTCGTGAGTACGGTACCATAAGACATACGTGGTCGACAGGCCCCGCTGAGCGGTCTAACGCTGCTCAGTGGTGGCGTTGCTTGGTTGGGGGATGGGTATCGTGGGCGGCGTTGTGTTGTGGGTCGGCGTCGGGAGAGGGGGGAGGGGGGTGTTGGGGAGGTGGCCGGTGTTGGGGGGCGATCGGTGTTGGTGGGCGGTCGGAGTTGGAGGGTCGCCGGTGTTGGGGCGCTCGA